AGCATGCTTGCTATTGAGTTTTCTCAACAAAAAATGCTAAATACATAAAATGTGTCACATAACTTCAGTTTTATTCTGCTTTAACTAATTGTTTGTCATTTAAATGCATGTGAAACTTAAATCCAAGTGAAAAGTGGCACCGGTTGGTCTCAAATAGGCTGATGCAACTGAATCACTTTAGACTGTCTTTGCTCATTTACACAGTTACAGCTATGTCAACACTTCACCCCTGCTAAAGGTGTGTGAAAATTCTCAGAATAAATTCATCTTCTGTTGGAGGAACATAGTGTGAAATTATCAAAAAATACAATACAGACTGAGAAAAAAAATCTTTGTATCAAATAACTGTTTTCAACAAAATCGCTGGTGTCATTTCCTTTGCAGATAATAGCTTTGGCAACCATCTTTTGTTTTCTCCGACAGCATTGAGAAAGAGAGACGTTAGCTGCTCCTCATCCAGAGTCTGAGTTGGACATAAATTGCATATTGAATACAATATACAAGCAGGTAAATTTCCTGACTCATGAATATCAACACAAGAATGATTTAGCCGAATTTCCTGCTCTGGTGTCTTTCCTATTTTCAACAGTGTCTCAGAAATTTGTGTCACATTGTATTTCTACAAAAGATGAACAGGTAGTGATAAATTACTAAATGTGTCAAAGCACACAATTAAAATAAAAGTACAGAGAAATGTTTTAAGTAAGGTGCAATAAGTAGCCCATTAACAGCATTGTCTCCAATAAATTTACTCTTTAAGGTTTGATTTCCATATGAAACGACTCCAGGAGAAAAATAATTTATATCAAGTCTTTTTAGAATCAGCTCTCCTGAAGCAGTATACCTTCTTCCTGGCACGGGGCCACATAATAGGAAAATTAGACGATCCGTCTTTTTTATCCTCCTACACTCCTCTTCCCAGATAATTAGTCTTCATACAGAACAAATTGCACCTCTTCTGGAACTCTGAGCAATTTTGCAATATATATGATCACTTTAGTTCAAAAACAGTCATTAAAGTACATAATGAACATGATCCTCATTACTACTTAGACATTTGTCTAAATTATCTTAAAAATTATTTTCAACAGCAGCTGACACGCTCAGAGGTTTTCATCACAAAGGAAGCCATTTTGGTTCCTCTGATGACAATGGCACATTAGAAAACAGCAGCAGTTGAACTAATGCAATAATGGAGTGAAAGAGACTGTTTGCCTGTTAGATTGGAAATAAAGAACTTATGCAGACAATCCCTCCCACAGAGCATCCACCCCCTGTGACTCTCTCCATGGCTGAAACTGTAGAGCCTTAAAGTGCTTGAATGGCTTTTTTTCTATTTAAATCTTTCTCACTTCAGCGCTGAAATGTCTGTGTATCAGTTCAGGATTAAAATAATGGTTGGAGCAATTTGAAAGCCACATGCTTTTAGAAAATCAATGATAAACTGTTGAAACTTTGTGGGTATGTCTTTGTGTTTAATATGGTTACAAGTTTGTTTTTTTCCCCCACCGACTGAGTGAGCCAGAGAGTCTGAGTGGTCCTGTCCATCTGATCAATAAGCCTTTCATCCGACCATTCAGACATTGATCAACTTTAAGAGAGATGATCTAGTTTAGAAGACGCTTACTAAGCATTTACTTCGACATTTTACTTCCAGACGTCTGCAGAGGAAGTTTGGTTTGACACATTCTGATTGCCTCACTGAACAGCAGACAAACACGCATATGTAGAGGAGCTTTTTTAAAAATAATATTATTATTGATTTGCTATAGCATTATCAGGAAAAAAAAATAAACCATTTTCCTGGAAATGTTCAAGAGAAATGACCAAAAAGGGTGCAGAAATGTCCAAATTGCCTCCAGTGATCTTACAATTATAAACACCAGGAACAGAAAGTACAGTTCAAAGTCAATATAGTTGTGTTTAAAGTTTAACACCAGCTTCAAAAGTTTATAAAAATACCATACCTGGAGTGTAGCTTTAGTCCTTTCATGCATTTTGGAGAAATACTTTAATCTCCCTGGGCATCCATTTTGGTCTCACTTCACCTTTTCCACAAAGATCCTCCTCAGAGCTGCAGTTTCTACTCTTCCACCTCACAGATCTCTCCTCCCCACTCAGCTCCTGCAGACTAGCCAGCAGCAATTAGCAAACCCCTGATGGAACTGCATATCAGTTGAGCTCATCATATTAGCTACTTTTCTGTCCAACGCTGGTAAAACATTGTTAAAGACATAAGCAGGAGCTTCTTAAAGAGTCAGAGGTTCAATTCTGAAGTCAAATTCCTTTTAAGTCCTATTTGATATTTACAGCATTTTTATAACTTAAGCTTACATCCTCCTACTACTTCCTGTCAACTTCTTCATCTTTTCTGCAAATAGTAACATCTGGTTGTTGGTCACATGACTTGAGTGATGCAAAAAGATCTTTCCATTGCAATTTTGTGAAATTTGTGGATTTTGACATTTTAAAGAATAACTTCATCATAGCACATAAAATGTTAACTGTTATATTTCTATCAAACAAAATTATTTTCATAATTATAAATGCCAATGGTGCCTGGAAAATACATAATACATAATACAGGCCCTTTAATATTCTGACACTGAAATGAGAGAAAGCTTGAAGACAGATTGTTTGCTGTTCCCAAAATATACCAGCTCATTCATCTGTTGTAGCCTTGATAGTGCTGCATTTTATTATCTGAAAGAAAATGATTTTGATTAAAATTGTTCTCTGAAATATGTGTTTTAGTGTTTGCTTTCTTTTGTGTGCAACAGCAAACCTTTTTTTGCATAAATGCTCTGCCATCTGCCTCTTTTATTTATAACTTCAATGTAAGACAGTTCTTTAGAGAATCTGTTGAAAGGTCTATTTTTTTTATCTTCCCTGCAGTTTAGAGATAAAAGGTGCCTTTGAAAGCGAATTTGACTGTTGAGCACAGAGGGATGAAAGTATCTTAAGTAGGGGGTGAAATTTTCTCAAGACAGAGCACAAGTGGAGTGGAAGAATCAGCGACTGCGAGATCATTTCATGAAATGAGAAAACCAACAAACTGAATCAGTAATTAGTAATCAGGACTCAACAGGTGACAACCTGCAGGCACAATCACTGAGGAAAAGACCTCTGGAAAAATGCATGCTTTGATTTCCTAATTTCATTCTCCTTCTTCCAATATTCGAAAGGATTTATGTTTTAGTGGTTTCAGCAGATTGGAGAAAGAAAGTATTTCTGAATACCTTTAACTTTTTGTTTGTATGCACTTTTATCTTAGCTTGCCTGTCAAAGAGAAGTCATAAGAAAATGTTAATTTTCCAGCTCATTACAATTGTTTTCAGACACTAACATGTTCTGAAACGGATGAGTAAATGACCATAAACCCAGATAATGTCAATAGATACACAAGCAGATAGTTATATAAACAAGAAAAATAATAAATTAGGGTTATATTGCACTATTTTTGAGTGAATCACATTTTAATTTATTTATTGATCTGATTTAAATTTAGGAAAAATTGGCTTTCTGTGCAGCATAATATGAGCTGGACCTCTTTGTCTTGTAAGGTGTATCTTTTTTGGAAATAAAGAAAAAATTAAAACAATCATATGACAGGTTTAGGCCAATAACAAAAAATCCCAGACCATGGAAAATCTGAGGACTGCACAGATCCAGTTGGTGGCTCTTGCAGCAGGAAGTTCTTTGGTTTGAATCCTGATTTGCAGTCTTTCTGCATGGAGTTTGTACAGATTGTGAACATAACATTCATTTTCTATCCCAAATTCCAAATCTGACAACCAAAAACAAAAACATTGGAGAGGAGTCATGATGTTGTTATCCCTGGGACGTCGACCTCATGCATCACTGCATAACGCAACTGAAAAAAGAAAGTATTGATCGCAAAGTCTCCAGCCTGAATGTGAGCTCATACAATTGAGATTTATCTGGTGATCTGAGCGGAGAGGAGGAGGAAGTCAGGGAAAAGGTCCTGGCTATAAGTTAAAGAGCAGCTCAGACCATTTCAGACTGTAACATTCTGGACACATTCATCCATCCAACCTGCTTATCCATGCAGGATCATCAGGGGAGGCTGGCCAGAAATGTTAAAAGCTCTGGATTTGATCAGCTTTACCTTGTATAAGCTATCAATCCAAACATGCAGCTTTGAATGAGAACGTGAACAAATATGATAATCATTTAGTTCTATGTCACAATTTATACATCATATCCATATATTTCATTCACCTTAGTATAACAGCAGTGTCTGAGAACCCAGGGAAAGTTTTTATGATTATTTTCCACCTCAAGGTTGCAGCCTAATGTTATAATGATGTTTTTTGTGTATTATCACAATCATCAGTCCCTTGAGTCACCCACCAAACAGCGGCTCTGTTCTGAATCTCAACAACCCCGCACAGGAACTGCACTTGACCTTTCCTTCCCTGCATATGTCTCTTTGTGAAAGCAGCCATAAGCAGCTGACAGGGCAGGGAGACCGTGCCAACAGTTTTTAGAAAAAAGAAAAATTGTGCAAATTTAGGTCTTTTCGCTGCACCGTTATGAAATGAGGTGAGAATAATTTGCTGAGATTGACCTGTCATGTGCATATGTGTGTTCATTTTCAATTCAGATAATAGACTTTACAAAACATGGTGAGGGTTATTTTTTTGTTGTTGCTTTTCATACTTTCTGTACAGATTTTAAATAAAACGCACACATATTCATGTAAGTTGTGAACATTAGGAACATAAAAGAAATAGATATTAACATTTATAGCATTGTAAAATATTTCCTCTTCATCATCACCATCACTGTATCTCATAATAGCATTTCCCACCACTTCCCTAAATTTGAACACCCTGCTGAGTCCCTGGCAGCCCACAGCAGCCCTTCCCTCCTCCTCTTCCTCCCTCGCCTTCTGTCCAGTAACCCACTTGACAAACATAAACCTTCAAGTGAATTCACCAGCAACAGACGCAGATTATTCCCATTTAAAGGTGAACAGGAAGAACAGGATATGCGGTTGCCATGGAATTCTCTCAAAAGCTTTTGGCAAACTGGCACATCCCACTTCTGATGTCAGCACTCGGAGAAGGAAGCATGGAGAGAGGGAGGGAGCCGGGTGAGGAAGGAGTTCAGAGAAAAGAGCGAGAGACAAGGGAGAAGGGGAACGGGAAGGGGTGAGGGAGCGAGCGAGCGAGGGAGGGAACAAGGGAGGCAGCCTGTTGCTCCTGATCATCAAACAGCCTCTTCATACTCCACAAGCTCCAGCGCCTGAGTAGAGATGGAGCAGTGTTGAAGCCAGAAGGAAACACAATTCTTCATCTTCATGTTTCCTGAGCAAGGACACAAGAGCAAAGTAAGTATCTTTTCATTGAAAGATAAAGTAAATATGATTTTTAAACTTTATTTTTTATGATGCAGTTTGTTTTAAGCAAGTTTGTCCTTAGAGGAGTTTTGTCACAACTTTAAAATACCACTGCAGCGTGGATATTTCCACAGTTACATGGACGAGGGAAACGAGAGCACTTGTTACCTGAGAGCTCCAGAGAAATGTGCAGAAATGTTTTGACACCAACAGGAGCGGTGCTGCAGGAGAACCATGGAGCAGAGCAAACGCTTCCTGTGAAGTGAGCGTCTGATTCAGAAAAGGCATTATTTGTCTTTCACAGATTACAGTGATTTGCATGCCGGATACTCTGCACGCACACCATGGTAACAAGGCTGTGGCCACATTGCAGAGTGTTTTGGTCTGTAAACATTTGCTGATATCTGAGAGACAGAGTCCGGCTTGGACACTGAAGCTCTGCATCATTGTCTAGATGGCCATTTGATATCACATTCACTCCTCAAAATCAAATAATTGTTTTAATGGGAATTGATGAGGGGGAAACTTTCACAGCACTGAGTCCTCAAACAGCAAAACCTGGCTGATTTTTCGAATCCGTCCATCATTTCCAAGCACAGACCATGCTCTCACTTTTAAGATGATGGTAGATTATGGCATGTAATGCGATTATATGTCCGCAGCTCTGATGCACGGCCCGAGTCTTTGGGGTCAGTGATATATGATATGTAATATATCAAAGGGTCTCCTTCCTTCAGGTAATTGTGACCATAATGAGATGAACTAATGACTTTTTTCCTGCTCTAATAGAGTCTGTCTGATTCTCTTCCACAAAGAGGAAACCATAAAGTGATTAAAATATTCTGTTCTCAGGTTCCTTTTCAGTGTAATGTTCAGCTTCCTCTGGTTAAAAAGTGTAAAATAAATAAATAAATAGAAACCTGAACAATTAATCTTTTATTCCTGTAACATGATCTCCAAATATTTCCTGAAATAAATGTTTTCATTATTCTGTTTATTTTTTAGCAAAATGCTGCACTTATTAATTCCTCAAAAATGCATGTAACTGAAGCATTTTTATTTTTGCTAATTTTTTTTAGGTTGATCAGAATGTCTTAAGAACGACTTTAGCTCATGATTCCTGACTCACAGTATCTGAAGTGTTATATATTAAATAAAACGAAAGCACTTTTATTTCAACCATGCTTCAAAATGAAGAAGACAAACGAAGATGGCTTTTCAGTCAGGTGTTGGTTTTAAAAAGTCAGGAAAATAATTACCATTTAATTGGTTGGTCTCAAGTTTCATAACAACCAGCAGATGCCATCTACCTGCCATGTTGTCTTTTCTCTCCAAAAATCAGTCCAATTAAACAAAAAATTAGCTTCTTTGTACCAAACACTTCAGGTTGACATGGGAAAAAACTGGAAAAACCAATTAGAAAAGCACTATATAACCATCAAGTTAGAGGATTTGTGATGCTATGGGTCTGTTCCTCTTATTGTAATCACATAATGTCTAAATTTGGATTATCTGGAGATACAATCTGAAGAGGAACGGTCAAAAATCCCTCTCTCTGGATGCCCCAATTAGTGAAATGTAGTAGAAAAAGAAGAAGGGCTGTAATATGGTTCTACATCAGCAAGGTTGCTAAAAACCTTGCAGTTTATATTTTTGTTAAAATCAGTTTTCCAATTAGATACATGCATTCAACATTTTTAAATCTGAGATTGTGTTACTGTGATAAAAGGTTAATTAAAAAATAAAAAATAAACAAAAAACTTTTCACCTGATGTGTTGATATGTGAGGAGGGTGAGATTCAATGTGATTTAAAATGCATGAATGAATGTAAATCTAATAAGATGTCGGCTCTGGCTTCATTTATATACAGAATGTGGTGGATTAATATTGATATTTGTGTGAAAATGTTGAGACATGCAAAATATTTTGTCAGTTTTTATTTTAATGCTTTGCATTAAACCAGGATGGGTTGAGTCTTTTACTCCACTTCTTGATCTTCTTCAATTTGACTTCACGTCCATCACTTCTGCTCCAAGGAAAGGCCTGTGGCTGTTTGTCAGCTCCATTCATTCCATCTCATCAACCAGAGCACTTTTTCACTCTCTGTGTTTTAGTGTTAAAAGTTTTTTTTTTTTTTTCAAACCAATCTGGAATCAACCATTGCCCTGGTCAATTCAGCCCACAGAGATCGAGTGAAGATCCTTTTAAACCTGGCAGACAGGCGAGGGTTTCCGCTGCAGGAGGATGTGCCCGAGCTGATTCTCCGAGACATTTATCGGCGTCTCCTAGACAAAAGACTTGTTTACATAGCCCTGAGGCAGTTCGGTGGTTGCATGACTGCTGCCCTCACAGGAAAAAAATACATCAAAAAGATGAAAAATGATGCACATAGTCAATACAGGGAACTTAATGTTATGCAATCTTTATATAATCAAGTTAGATGAGCACTCACAAACAGCAGGAGTGTGCAATCATCCACTCAGGAAAGAAAAATGCCTGGGATGGAAAAAAAAAAGTAATATGGTTATCGACTAAATCTGAGGTATTGATGTAAAGTTAGGATGTTGCAGCAATGTTTTTTCAGACGGGGATAATATGGAGCAGCAGTGCTGAAATGTTTGGATTTGTTGGACCAAGGACAGACAGAGCTGTCAGACAAACTGCAGAGACAAAGTGATGGAGGTGTGATATTTCTGCTGCCTCTTTCCTCTAAACAGTCTCATCCACTTAAAAAGTTTTTGGTCTTGTTTTTGAATAGCAGATACATTTTTTACTCCCTTTCCTGATCAAATGGGTTTATGCCTAAGTTTCTGATATATTAAATTCGATGACTGAAAGTGAGAAATATGCAAAAAGATCCAGAATTTGGCAGAAGAGGGCTAATGTTATGTTTCGAATGCTGGAAGAGACATTAATGCACAAAATGTCCTCCCAAGACAAATATAGTGATGGCAAATACTCTACTTTGAATTTGAGTTCCTCATGTCAGGATTTATATGGACAGAAAGTCAGGAGATTTTTCTGAGTATTGTAGCTTGGAGACTTAACAAACCGGCAACCTGGTAGGATTTCAAAGTTTTATTTCCAGGCATGGAATTCATCTCAGAGAGAAATGTCCAATTGAGATAAAAACTTTTTTTTTTTTTTATCTCAAACTTTTACTTTTACTGAAAAATTATGAGTGTCTGTTGGCAGATTGGTCCATTTCTGGTGCTGTTCTGAACAACATTGAAGTTTTGTTTCTTTCCAAGTTCTGATTCTGATTGTGCAAGCTTCACTTTTCTACATGTAATCAGTGTTTTTAATTGAGTCTCTAAATGTGCTACAACATTGTAGCAATCAACATATTATTCTTAATACAATGTCTGTCACACCATAAAAAAACCAAAAACATTTTAAGCTATGAATTTTAGCAATTCATAAAGTGAATGGAAGTGGAGAGAAAATACTGTTGAAGAGAAAATAAGGTGTCTACTATTAATGGCTATCAAATGAAAACATGTACTAGTTGATTTATGCTCACAAACAACATTGCAGTTGCCTTCTTGGTCCAGCAGTTAACAATGTTTGAGCTTCGGTTGTAGCGTTGCCATGAGATTCATTGTATTCTTATCCCTCAGGTTTTAAGTTATTCCTTCACTTTAATCCAAGATTTCAGTTGTTTTATAGTCTTGGATTAAAAGTGTTTCCAGCAGAAATATCATTTTTGGAAATTAGGAGAAATATCTCTTCATTTTTTCCATGGCGCTCCGACGTGATTGCTGCAGTAAATCATTATATCTATTTTTTTTGTGTGTGTATCAACAATGTAATATTTTGCATCCATTGGAAATTTGTGTTGTTGTTTTTTAAGAAAATAATGTATGACATGATTAATGTGAAAGATTTCCAGAAAGTGAGGCTTCAAACATGTCGTCACACAGGCTTTCCTGTTTTAGTAGGTATGACACAAAAGGCTCCTTTCTCTTTTGCAGACTAGATTACTAATTTGTATTTTTCAAGATTTGTATGCTTTTACATCTAAAATATGAGGATATTTGTCTTTTAAGATCCTTTGTGGTGCTGAAACTGTATAATAGAAAGAAATAGAAAAAACAGACATAACTGCTAGCATAGCTCATCACTGAAAAACATTATCTCCTGAGAAGCAAAGAGCAACTCACAGCAGTGGACCACAGACTTGTGGAGAAGATTATAACCCCAAACCTCACCCTCCTTTCAGGGTTTTCTGTTTGCATTAATACCACCCACTTCCTACTGTTTACAACTATTCCTACAGGAGTTACTGTAAGAAAACGTTTCTAGTTCAGATCTGCCTCTGGCGTGCCTGACTGTTTCAGTGTTTAACCAGATTTTAGACGGAGACAAAGGAAGAGTGAGACGGGCAGGTCTTGGCAGCTTTTGTGGTCCATTTCTGGAAACACCAGGCTTTTACAGTCCATTAGAGAACAGAGAACTGTCAAAGGAATAGGGAGAGAATTGGTTGTTGTGAAAATGGGCATTGTGCAGTCAAAATGGTCTTCAAGAACATGATAGATCTCAATTATCAGGTGATATCTGTCACTCTCAAGAACAGTACCTTGTGGTTTCAAGCAAGCAAAATGGAAGAAAAAACACAACACTTCTCAGTCTGAACAGCTCAGGCTAGTGTGAGTTTTGTGCGTCCAGAAACACTGACAAAAAGTCTGTTACTCATGAATTTACCATGTGTCTGTAATTCACAGAATGAGTCAAGCTGAATTGCAAATCCCTGATTCAGAGACAGATTGATCAAATCTGTTTTGCATAACGCTTCCTTCAATACTGTATGCAGACAAGAACTACAAATAGACGCAACTAATAAAGCAATAAAGGTCTCTCAAGAAAACATGTTGCCACTCGACATATGTTCTTTCTATAAACACACGTCTGATATAATCCCAACTATTTCTTAGCTTCTAGATTCAGCTTTTCTTTTAATGTAACTGCAGTGGTTAACATTATCTCACCCCTTAGCTGATATGGATGCTCTTCAAATTCTCCTGTGGATGGAATTGTGGGAAACGCGGTTCAGTCAGGAAGCAGAGACTCACAGGCTGGTGACTCACCACGCAATCTGGAGAACATGCCCTGTGGCTTAGCTGCGATAACGCTGGCACCGAAAGAGGCCAGACCTCAGCCGATCTGGTGGGGAGAACAGCCTTCATCTCTCCTTCAGAGAGAGAGAGAAAAAGAGACTCCGTCGCCCCCTCCTGAGGACGCATCAGAGCCGCGGCAGAGCAGAGAAAAGAGTTTAGAAACGTTTCTGCGTCTGTGAAGAGACAAAAGCACAATCACTTTAAAGACAAAGTGAGAGATCAAGCAGCCCTCAGGGGGTTAAGTGTGATTTAATCCGATTGGGGGGAGGCTGAAATAGACTCCATCACATCCACTCTGTAGCGGTGGGTAGTAGGTGTATGAAGGACCTCTGCCACACAAAAGCAGGGAGTGTGAAAAGTGTGAAAAATGAAAGAATTTACATAGTTTTATTTCTGGAGTTTATTTTTCTCCAGCTGCTGATTTCATAATCTGTATTTGCAAAGACAACAATAAAAATATGGTGATAATCCCACAGATTTCATGCACTGATGAAATAAGTTAGTTTGTGAAAACATATGGAAATTAAGAAAAGTTTGGATTTTATGTGATAGATTGATACAAAGCAAAAAGGACCGAATAAAAGTCAAAAAGTGGTGCATGCAGTTGTATTCAACAATGAACACTGTTCAAACTAAAAGCTGTAACTCCAACCATCCCAACTATAAAGTATGGGTTTGGGACAATCATAATGGACATTTTATTGCAGGATAGACTGGTACAGTAGTTAAAAACTACAAAAATTAAGAAAAATACATTATTGGAAATGTTGAACTAACATCTGAAGATGTCAGGAAGTTAAAATTAGTCCACAAATATGTTTATCACATTTTTCAAATGAAGAATGCTGGAATAAATCTGATCCAAAATCTTTGGGTACAGCTGAAAACAGGTGAACTAACTTTATCTGTTACAAGTAATCAAATTAAATTCACCCAAGTAAATACATTAAGTCTAATAAGTTGTCATGTCAAACAAACTTACTTCATTTCATCATATGTAATAAATCAGCTCGATTATTTTATTATTGTTAGTTCCATCCTGTTTATTTCAGTGTGTGTGTGTGTGTGTGTGTGTGTGTGTGTGGGGTGTGTGTGTGCGTGTGTGTGTGTGTGTGTGTGTGTGTGTGTGTGTGTGTGTGGGGGGGTGTGTGTGTGGGGTGTGTGTGTGTGGTGTGTGTGTGTGTGTGTGTGTGTGTGTGTGTGTGTGTGTGTGTGTGTGTGTGTGTGTGTGTGTGAGAAAGGTGGCCTGGAAACCAGAATCAGTTGCACATAAGGATGTGCCAAACCTCCAGAAAACTCCAGAAAATTTGTAGAATGAGAGAAATTTCATTTTGCCTTTTCCTTTACTATTCTAAAAAACTACTTTGTGTTGTTCTAGCCCAAGAATCTTCATTGCAAAATGTTCATCTTTGTGGTTTTAATGTTAAAAAATATGAAAAAGTTGTGCTGGTATTTGTTCCCATCAAGTTTTTTCCAAATCAGACAATTTTTAGATAAACAAATGGCAGTTTTATGTCTTTTTTCTTCTTCAGATTCACATTTAGCCACAAGAATTCACTCTCACTATAAAAATTCAAATGAAGTAGAGAAGAACTCAGAGAGCAACATCTGGTTTCATGGGTGGAAGCTCCTGCTGGCTGTAATCAGTATGGCAAACAAAAGCTGACAGTGCAGGTGCCTAATAACTACTCAGTCGACACTCCCAATCCCCATTTTAGAAGCAAAGATCTTCCTCCCAAACCCAAACTGGCATTGCAGCAGTGACAGTTTAATCTCTGACAGGCTAACCTGCTTCCCCCTAAATTACTGTAATTGATTCAATTAGTGTGTACAGTGATCCAGGAGTTCCTTCTTAAGATGATCATGCACAGTAAAAAACGCTCTTTTTTCTTTCCTCTTCTTTCTGTATTTTCTCTTACCTCTAAAAAAGAAAAAGTGTTAAAATATTGAGTTACTTTTTCTCAGCTCAACACCTAAAATATTAAACAGTTCACTCAGGGGGTATGGTAAATATGGTTTCCTTGTAGCATACAGAAAATAATTACATCAGTGAATTATCTAACACTCAGAGGAACATCATTATTTGTAAATCCCAGGCTGCAGTGGGTGACAGATGTTTATGCACACTGCAGGGGGATGAAACCATTAACTCTCTATGCCTACTGCATCTATCAGCGATCGTGTTTAATGATTCATAAATGTCATATTTCCTGCTTCAGATGGTGAGAAAGACTTGAAGGAATGTTTTCAGTGCCACTTGTTAGCCTGTTTGGAGAATCTGCCGACATTCAGAGAGCGCATCAAAAAGTATTTTAAGATCTTGATCATGTTATATCCTGCAATGATTTGAAGGAAAAATCAATTTTTTTAAATAAGCTGCTCATAACTATTGAATAATCTTTGTCACAGTAGTCTTAGATTGCTGTTAAATGTACAAATATTTTCAGACTGAGAGCACACTTTCATATTTCTTTCATTGAATAAACTTTTTTGTTTTTTGTTTCATTTGTATTATTAGTTTTCACCATAAATGGAAAGAAATTATAGCTTGTCATGTTGTTCTTTCCAATATGTGAAGTTTTTATGTGGTGACTAAATCAGGAGTACGGCTTCTTAAACTCATTCCCAACTCACCCTATTTGCACTTCATCAAATCACAGTCCATGCATTTACATGCACAACTTTATTTTTTCTGATTGCATCCAAAAACAGAAGCAATTTGAATAATTTTGCTGCCTGCAAAAGGTCATGAATCTTAATATTTCCATGTAGTTTAACTTCTCACCCTCGACTTCCAGTCTTCAGTAAAAATAATAACTCCTGCATGTAAATCTGCCGTTAACACAACAAAACGGTGTCAGTCTACTATGGCAAGTAAGGAAACACTATTTAAAAATAAACCGAATACTGATTATTATTACAGTTTGAGCAATGAAAAACACGTAACACCATGGTTGTGTTTCTGAAGATCTGGTCTTTAGTGCATTTATCCTCCTTTCAGCAACTTAATCAAACTTTAAATAAATTAACAAAGTCCATAAAATTCTGACTTGTTATTATATCAAACTAACAATTATCTATCTATCTATCTATCTATCTATCTATCTATCTATCTATCTATCTATCTATCTATCTATCTATCTATCTATCTATCTATCTATCTATCTATCTATCTATCTATCTATCTATCTATCTATCTATCTATCTATCTATCTATCTATCTATCTATCTATCTATCTATCTATCTATCTATCTATCTATCTATCTATCTATCTATCTATCTATCTATCTATCTATCTATCTATCTGTCTATCTGTCTGTCTGTCTGTCTGTCTGTCTGTCTATCTGTCTGTCTGTCTGTCTGTCTGTCTGTCTGTCTGTCTGTCTGTCTGTCTGTCTGTCTGTTTGTCTATCTATCTATCTATCCTTTGCAAGTTTACCAGTTGCATCCAAATGTGAGGAGAAACCAGGAAAAACCAAAACACTTTGGAGGAAAATCCAATTGAATTAAAAAAAAATAGTGTACAGTGGCACTAGGGAGAGGTGGGTCTGAGTTTCTTACCCCTGCAACCTGATCTAATCTGGTTGCACTATGTTAAATAACTGAGCTTTGAGTTGGTCTTGGTGAGAAAATTTCTAGCTTTTTGTTTTCTTCGTGAGGCTTGGCCTTTGTACTGACCTTCGGCATCCATTTGATGGTTGGTTTCTGGCAATAAAAACAAAATCTGCATCAGGTGATGTGGTCTCAAAGATTTATTGTTATTCGAAGTGCTAATTTTCAATAAACAAAATCTGAGCAAGTTTCACAGATCAAAACTTTTAAAAAATCTTTTTTTTTTTCATATTTGTTAAAACTGTTACCTGATAATCCTTGAGAAGATCGATTTCCTGCACCTCCTTCTAGTGTTGCTGTTGCTGTATGAAGAAATGCAGCTGCTACTTAAAAAGAACCAATCAGAACCAAGGAGGAAAGTCTTAGCGCTGTCAGTCAAACTTGTGTACATGCTGCTTGATGTGCTGGTGGCAGAGAAACAACTGACATACATACCTCAGCTATAGTTATTTATTAGTATTTGAATACCAATGAATAATATATTCAGCTATATTGAATATATTATATTGATGATGAACTTAAAGTATTCATCATCAATAAATGAGGAATCTCAGCATACCCCACAATAGATGTCCTTAGAGAAGAATTGTCAGAGTAACCAATGTGATTCTCTTTTTCAGTCTGTGAGTGTGAGATCGCGCTGATGGGAGGTTGAGCTCAGGGATGTGACAGTAAAGATGACCCTGCTGGCGGGTGATGGTTCTGACTACGACTACAGTGCCCTAAGCTGTGCCTCTGATACTTCCCTCAATCAACCTCCACAACAAGAAGCAGAGGCTCGGAAAGGAGCCTTCTACAAAAGGGCCCAGCTCGCCCTGGAGCGCACCACCGTCCCTGACAATACCGCTTTGTCTGGCGCCAGGAAGATCCACGCCATCATTAATGTGGGTGGCCTGCGCTACCAGATGCCTTGGACCACTTTAGAGGACTTCCCTCTGTCCCGCCTGGGCCAGCTGCACCTCTGCAGCAGCTTTGATGAGATCATGCGCATCTGTGATGACTACGACGTTGCACACAATGAGTTCTTCTTTGACCGCAGCCCCTGTGCCTTCAGGACCATCCTGACTTTCTTGAGGGCGGGTAAGCTGCGCTCCCTCAGGGAGATGTGTGCGCTCTCGTTCAGAGAGGAGCTCCTCTACTGGGGCGTCCCAGAGGAGAGCCTGGAGTGGTGCTGTCGCCGCCGCATGCTGCAGCGTGTGGAGGAGTTTGAAGCCATGGAGAGAGCAGAAGAAGAGGATGAGCTTTTGGAGGACCTGTTGGATTCGGAGAACGGGCACAAGGAGCGCACGGCCGAGTCCAGAATCAACTGCTGCATGAACAAACTGAGAGACATGGTGGAGAGGCCTCACTCCGGCCTGCCAGGGAAGATCTTTGCTTGTTTGTCAGTGCTGTTTGTTACCATCACAGCCATCAACCTCTCCATCAGTACCATGCCAGCTATGAGAGAAGAGGAGGAGGCGGTGAGTAAAAGAGCATTTTACATATAAAAGCAGTTTTATTTAAACAAATACATCAAAAACGCAGGAACAAAACAACATATAGGCTACTTTATGGGCATGACTGTTAACCTTTTTTGGGGCTTTTATGAATGCATCTGAGCAATTCTAGTTACAGAATAATTGTAATTTGCAGAGTAAACATAAGTGGAACTGCTGTGTAAACAGTCTTAACCCATTTCAAAATAAAAGGACAATCATTTCTTCACAGTCAATAACCAAGATTTCAATATGGATGTCAAAACTTACTTCAACTGAAAATTTACAAAACAGCACTACAGAATTTATCCAGAAAAAATATATATATTTAGGGGAAGCTAAACATTTTTACGTGCAAAACAACAAATTAGCTTAACTATTGGCAGTAGTGGGAGTGTGTCCACCACTGAAGACAGGTTTTACTACAATTATTAATAATGTTATTTCAGCAGCTTTTCTGGGATTATTGACAATTTTTGATGTTTTGTGAGTGATAGTTTTATTGCTTACAAGGAAAATTTAATTTGTTCTCTACCAATTCTAAGAGTAAGAGTGATCTGGTATCCAGCCAGCTATTGAAAATGCCCTCAATAAGTATTCATGTTAAAGAATATTTGATAAAACAACAAAAAATATTTTAACAGTAGGGAATGTGAAAAAATAAAGAAATTCTTAATGCTTTTTTTCTTCATATTGCTCAACATTTATCTTTAAGAGGAGAAACTTTGAAACTTTGTATCTGATCTGTCCAAATAAAACTTCTGTTTCCAAGCTACCTTTAAAAAAAAAAGCAATGGTGGTTTACCTGTTATTCCCTCAAACATATAGCATGTTTCAGGAATAACATCATTGCTTTTTACATGTCAACATTCTTCCCATCTTCGCCTACTGAGAAAATTTCATAAGCTCCTCTTTCTCAGCCTTAACTTATTAGAAAATAAAAAGATGTTCCTGGAAAGAATGTGATCCCTAAGGCAGCAAATGTTGCTCTCGTGTGTTTTTCTGCATTAATGCTACTACCATAGATGTGTAAATAAACTTTGCTGGAGGCATTGTCAGCCCCAGATGTCTCTGGCTTCTTGTTTGAGCCAGGATTCTCTGGAAATATTTGTGATTTTAACTCTGCTTTATAGAGAGTCACAATGTTTCCCAAAACTTAGTCTAGATGGTTCTGTTGATTTTTTGATGCAGTGCTGTGGTTCGAAGACATCGCAGGCTGTATTATTTTTGCGTTTTACTTCACTCACAACTTTAATTAAAATCCTCAGCCTTCACTTTCACATAAAAGGTAAATGGATTTTTAGTTTTTCACACACAGAAAATGACAGAAGTTTTATAAATACATTCTAAATCTGAGCTTTTACCACAAAATCTCAGTGACTATAGAGTAGATGTCCAACTGCTAACAGGAAGATTTAAAAATTTCTGAAAAATAAGTTTCTTTTAGACTCAAAATGTTGAACTTTTTAGTGTTAAACTGTAGAAAATGATGAAATCTTATGATGTTAAAATCTTCTCTCGTACACATTTCTAAACCAAACCCAATCCCTGTAGATGAAAATTAATAAAAAGAGTTCTTGGGATGTAATAGACTTCAAAAATTTAGTTTGAGCCAACAGGCCTCCCTTGTTCTCTCGCCTCATTTTTCTTAATATGTCTCTGCAAGACTACTTAATTACAAGTGGCAACAATCTGATTGTAACAGACTGCTTCTGGTTCCTGTCTGCCAGAGAAAGTTTTCAGCTTCTGTTGTGAATTTTCTCAACATTTCCTGCAGTTCTGCAAGTCTGTGGTATGTTTAAAACTTAAACCTTTCTGTTCCCTTCAAACATTTCAACACAGTTTCAACTCAGCATGACATGGACAAACCCCTGTATTGTGTTTACCTACTTAATTTAGACGTTTAGGCAAATTATGAAGTATTTTGTGTTTAAAACACAGCTATAACAACTCCAGCTATTTAAGAAATAAGATCTCTCTCTGTCCTTGATTAAGGTCCCAATGGAAGCAAGGAGTATTTCAAAGACTGGACTCATTTCTGTTCATGTTTCTCTTGGCATAACAGTTGAAATGAAGCCATATTGGATGGGGAAGATTACTGCACACACATAGACACTTTTAGAGGTGTTCCACTGATGTCACTTCCCACACTTGATTGGGTCATTCTCAAGATTTCGGAATTGGGTCACTTCCGGCTTCAGTGCGAACGAAGCCTTATTTGCAAATTTGAAACATAATTGTGCATTCAATTTAAATTCAGAAGTTGGATTTTCTGGTTCCGAATCAGAGAAGTTGACTAAAACTGGAATGATGCCTGAAGTCAGATTACTAACTCTGACAGTCAGCAATCTGACAGCAATCTGTTCTGTGGTGCAAACAGGTTTATGTGAAAGAACAGCAAAGCAACAGCAATGACTTGTATAAAGAGTCTGTTTTGACACGATCAAAGGTCAGTGGATATACATTTTTTAAGGAAAGGCTATACATTGAAAATAGGGGGGAAAAACATAAATCACCAAAAAAAAGCAATACATTGCTTGTGCAGCTGCATCCTGTTCTGGTTAGTTTCATGCTAATGTGGCTCCCTCTAGTGACTGTAACATGCTGATTGTCACAGTGAGATATATATATATATATATATATATACATATATATATGTATATATGTATATATATATATATATATATAATATAGGACATATATATATGTATATATATATTTTTTTTTTTTACAGGGCACATGTTCCAAGATGTGCTACAACATCTTCATAGTGGAGACTGTATGTGTGGCATGGTTCTCCTTGGAGTTCACCCTGCGCTTCATTCAGGACCGCAGCAAGCTGACCTTCTTCAGAAAGCCTCTGAACCTGATTGACGTGGTGGCCATCCTGCCCTACTACATCACGCTGCTGGTGGACGGTTCGTCCAAGGGGGAGAAGCGCCTCGGCTCCGGCAGCAGCTACTTGGACAAAGTGGGCTTGGTGCTCCGCGTGCTCAGAGCGCTGCGCATTCTCTACGTGATGCGGCTGGCTCGCCATTCGCTGGGCCTGCAGACTCTTGGCCTGACTGCGAGGCGCTGCACACGGGAGTTTGGACTGCTCCTCCTTTTCCTGTGTGTGGCGATTGCTTTGTATTCACCCCTTCTGTACCTGATTGAGAATGAAATGGCTGCCACACAGGAGTTCACGAGCATCCCCGCGACCTATTGGTGGGCTGTGATCACTATGACAACTGTTGGTTATGGGGACATGGTGCCAAGGAGCATCCCGGGTCAGGTGGTAGCTCTCAGCAGCATTCTGAGTGGCATCCTCCTGATGGCGTTCCCCGTCACCTCCATCTTTCATACCTTCTCCAGATCATATGTGGAGCTGAAGCAGGAGCAGCAGAGGATCCTGCAGCGGAGGACACACTTCCTGCTGCGTAGCCGCATGGCCGGCCTGGGCAGCAATCTCTCTTTAGAAAGTGACATCCTCTTTCCCTTAGGGCCGCCTGAAACCAGAGAAATGGACAACTGAGACTGCAGTTGTTCATTTCTCAACTGCTGGACACAACAATATTGTGTTATTGTAATTACACAACAATTACAACATTGTAGTTACACAACATTGCTGCCCTGTTCAATTGCAAGAACTGGGCAGAGTGTAAAGAAGATAAATATCATGCATTGAACTTTTTTTGCTTTTATCACATTGCAACAACAAACTTAAACTGCAGTATGTAACTTTCATAAAGAATATGTTGGGTTTTTTTTTTACATATTTTTTAAAACTCACCATTTTGTGACAGTGTAATATGAAAAAGATAATCTGTGAAAATATTGATCTTATCCATCTCCATGAGCTAGATCCATGAGCTAGTACTGCCATCTACACAAATGCGCTGCTCTCAAGGAAAAACAACCAATCAGAGCCAGGAGGAGGGTCTTTGCCCTGTCAATCATGCCCATGTACTTGCTCCTCATTGAGAAACAGCTTACCTTTTATCTGTCATCATCAGTGGCCATGCCTGAGCATTCTAAACAAGCCATGCTAGCTGCAGTAGGGAAGGGAACGGGAGGGAGGATGAGCATCGCTGCACCAGATTGTGATTGACAGCGCCAAGTCCCACCTCCTGGCCTTGATTGGTTGCTTCTAGTTAGCACTAGGAGAACTGGATGAAGGCAAAAGAGCTCGATTTTCGTTCACATATTATCGTTCACATGATGACAGTTTCAATAAATATGTAAGAAAAAGAATAGAGAAAGTTACATATGAACTTGAAGTGTATTGGAAATTGGATTTTCAGTGGTAGACCAACAAAATATAGCGCATAGTTCTGATACGGAAGAAAAATGTACATATTTTAGTTCTCTACCTGAAACATGTGAAAGGTTTGGCATTCATTTGTATTTAGTCTTGTTTGTTCTGATACCCCTAAATAAACTCCAATGTAACTAAATACTTTCAGTTTAAATAACCCCACTTCACAACAAATGATTGACCCTCAAGAAATGTATACATATATGGTAATTTAATCAATTTTAACAGCAGTTTAGGGAAAAATTATAAACAAAAAATGTAAAATTATTTAACAGTCGGAAAAGTTCAGACATCCTACCCTATAATTTCACACTCTTTGATTCACAGCAATTCAATGAGATCAGAATCTGGGTTTATGTTTGGCCCATTTGTACAATTTTAATTTGTACAAGTATTAATTTTTATAACAGTGCCTGTTTTTTTTTTTGAGACTTCTTTCTTTAAATCCTGACTTTAAAGTAATGCAGTCTTCTTTCTAACACTCTTTAGTTTCACTTCAGCAGTTGGGAGGAGTCCAAACTAAACGTCTGAGACGCAACAAACTTCCTTCAAAAGGCTGAGTTATGATTTTCCAATCATGTGTGCATCATGTGAGATTTTTTTCCAGATATGTCAGAAAAGGAGGCAGTCTTGCAAAATTTCAATAAAATACACAAAAGTTTGTTGCTGTAAATTTAGAAAGCTGCTGTTGGTGGATCATGTGGAGACAAAACAAAAAGCAAAAGCAACTAATGCTTTTCCTTCAGGAAAATCAGTTTTTGTGTAGCATGAAAGCACCTGGCAAAAAGTAAAAACATCAAAGCATCTCTGACACATTTCAGTTTAACAGCTGAAGGCTTTGCAATGCATTGAAAATAAGTCACAGCCATTGCATTCTGTTAAAAATGTAGATACAAAGACTTTGCTCAAGATCAAGCTGAATAACAAACAATTAGCTGCATGTGTCTAATTATGCAACTAATTCAGCTGTTAGTAACATTCTAGGGAGCTTTTGCATCTAGTTTACTAAAAGCAATAGGAGGTTTTTGAATGAATGGTCCATCCATCTCTCCCCACACACAACCAAATACACACCAACTCTCCTGATGATGTGTATTCTGCTGATTCGATTAGATGTATTTTTGAGAAAACTAAAAATTCATTTTTTACAAAGAAAAAAAACCGAGACATTCTGAAATTCATTACCTTGCGGGGGTGTCCAAAGTGTGGCCCAGGGTCCATTTGTCGTCCTTGGACTGATTTTATTTGACCCCCAACTCCAGTTAAAAAAAAGATAATGTAATTTTGTTTATGAAACGTTTATTTATAAATTTATTAAGCTCAGCTTAATATGACGAGTGTTTTGAAAGAAAATATTCCAAATTTGTTTTTATAGCTAAAAGCAAATGTGCTCAAATGAGCACAAGAAATTGAAAAAGAATTTTCAATTTTTGAAAATTGAAAGCTTTTGCAAACGAGCAAACCTTTTCAAGCTTTTAATCTACAAACAGAAACAAAAAAAATGCCATTTGCTTTATTTTAGTCTTTTTCTTCTTTCTTTCTTGACCTTTGAGAACTTTTGACTTAATGATTTTGACCCATAAGACAAAATGTTTGGAGACGACTGTTTTAGTCAAATTGTTTTTTCCCTTCCAAGGAATATCACAACTGAATATGTGGCTAGTCCAGGATTGGTTGTGCACATAAAAAATCACTATGAAGGATACAAAAAGTGGGTAAGAACAAAAAGTTAAAAAAAAACCCCAATGCATTTCAGTAAAATTAATGATGCAACAGCAATATGAAGTCCATGCAAAGTGTAAGAGTTCAAGCCAGACTCTTAGTTATCAGTGTTTTAAGATACTTTCTGGTGTAACATAAAGAGCATTGGTAATGTTTCTTTAGGCAGCCATTATTCTAATGGATTTGAGAATCCATGGTGCAGATTGTCTCAGTGTAACTCAGCAGAAGCTGCTGTGTGTTTATCATAAATCCTAAAGCCGTAACAAATTTACTGTCCAAGCTAACAGTTAGACACTTAATCCACTGAGTGTTTCCTGAGTGACTGTGAAAACTCTCAAAGTTTATTATATTCTGCTCTCCAGCACAGTCAGCATCTACATATTAATTATGTTGTGGTAATTGTCCTTTGTCCTCTCAGTGATGCTTCATATGCAACTTCTGAAGATGATTGTCTCTAAAATTGCTGCTGTGGCTGTGAATAGCTGTTTGTAAATGAGTTCCCCCGTGGACGTGGATTACTCTGGGGTTTTGCCTTTTTGTGTATAATGCTGTCTGATTGCTTCTCATTCTGACACAACATTTGCAGATCTCAGCTGGAATCCAGAGTCTGAATGTCCAGGATGTGCCTGTGTTTGGATTTGAAAGAAGTAGTCAGGAAAAATGTAGTGTCTGCTCAGTTTTTAAAACTCATTAAAGAATAAGAAATAACAAGTGATAAGGGACTTTTTGATGGCTGATATTTCTTCACCTAAGAGATTCATGCATAAAAAGCATGGAAACATCACATCTGGGAAAATCGGAACATTGCTGCAGGAGTCCATAGAATTTTACTTTTTAAAATAAGTTTTCAATAAATCAGTTAACTCTAAGTTATAAATGTCAAACTCAGAGTTTGACAAAAGTTGTGACACAATATAGGCAAAGTAGAATAAACAATGTGTGAAGTTACAAAGCTTACTATCAGTTCCAACACTAACAATACAATCACTCCCAAATCCTGACATTGGGAAAGCATACAGAATATATGATAAAATAGCTTTTCTTGATAAATTATCTAGCAGCCACACATCATTTCAACGCTTTTCATGAGGTTTATTTATTAAACTAGTAGATTTTAAAATTATTTTTTATTCTCATGTCAATATTTTATTGACATGTTATAATCCTTCAACCTGTAAATCATGTTTGGCTCTCTATATGTTAGCTGTTCTTTTGTATTTATTGGAAAAATCCAGTGCATTAATTGCGGAGATTTTTGAATTTTTTTTAATTTTATGGCCTAAAAGAAAGGATACCTCATTCAGAAGAAAATATTGATACATGCTGAGCTTTAAGCTTCTTTCCCTCAGAAAGAGAAGCTTCCTTTGATATAGCTGAAGCTTTAATGCCTTTGTTTCTTTTTTCAGTCTTCGGTCCTTGAAACAGAATTTTTTCAATCACTTCTAAATCCTCAGAACACCTAAAAATGCAATTTCTTACAAAGATTACGCACTTTGGAGTAATAAGAATATTGATACATAGTAGTTTTAAAAATCCACTGGAAAATGTTTTACATTTTGATAAAAAAAAAATTTACGTCTATTACTATCCACATAAATATTTGGAGCTAAAAATCTGTAATTGTTTAAAAGTTTTATCAGTTAATTCCATTCAGATGATGTGTTCTCCCATTTGAACAGTAGAGGGCAACCTTGGTCTAAATAATTTCTTATATACGAAGCAAAGACAATAAATTTCGTTTTTCTGTAATTATGAGACTTTTAGTGCATCCCTGTCTTTATTTTTATCCGCGTCATTCCAGTAGATGACGCGGATTTGAAGAATAGTTTTAGAATTTCTTTAATAAATAATTAAATGGTAATTGTTGTGTTTGGTCTTGGAAATGCAGACATTGGGTGAATCACGGTCTGTCATCAGGCGCAGGTCGGGACCTGCAGCCTCAGGTTAGGAGACGCTCATCAGACACCATTCAGCCAAATCACAGAAAACCTCTGCGTAATTCCTCTCTGACCAATCAGCGCCTGAGAATCCACACGAGGCCCCTCCCCTCACCCCGCCCCTGCACATCCCAGTGTTTTGATCCCGGTTTGTTTCTGTGTTGTTGCTGCAGAGGATCACAGGGTCGCTCGGCTTTTTCCACGGATCTCCGTGGGCCTCGCTTGTTTTCTGTCTGTGTGAGTTAGCAATAAAAAATAAAAATAAAAAAGACGTCTCCTCAGCTCCGGAGGGTTTCCCCATCATGACCTCACCGGGCCGCCGTCGCTCCTCTTCACCGGGATTCCTCATCGCTCCTCAGTGAGCCTGGCTTCATTCTGGCACCTCCTCGCTCCGCTTCAGTCCGCTGATTTTTTTTATTATAATTAATTTTTTATTTCTGGATCTGTGAGCTCGAAGCGTCGCTGAACAGGTCATTGATGTTTTGACGCCAAATTTGTTCCTCCAGAAGAGAGAAGAGACTACATCTCCAGCAGCCTGTTCGTCAGGGGTGAGTAAAAAACTTGTTTTTCTTTTTTTCTACAGACTTCAGACAGAATTCCATGAAAAATGAATGAGATCTCAGATGCATCAGGCCCAGCCTTGTGTCTTGAATTTCATCTTATCTGCACATTGTTGCGTTTTTTTTTCTCCTTGTTTTTACAGAAAGTTGTTGGAGCAATGACAGCTGCTCCTTCATTTCTGGGTCTTAGGAAATACGTTGCATACTTTTCATACCTCCATCCTGCACATTGTGAGACAATCACACCACACCTTACTGGATTCCAGCAGCAGCGACAATTAATTAACTTTACTAAAACTTCACTCAAAGACTAGAACAGCATTCCAGTATGAACACTATAAGAGAATAACATGGAGAACTTAATTAATTTGGCAATTTCAGGGTCGGATTTAGTTGGACCTGAAGTAGAAGACAGGTGTGGAATCCGTTTCATTTTTAACCCATATTTAACCTTGACTTGAGGTTGTTGCTATTTCACTGGTAAACAGTGTAATGTTTAACAAATACACACTTTTCAAAATGTTTTTTTCTAGCCATGTGTTTCATAAACAGTGATGTTTTCTTTTTACAGTTGATCTGAAGCTGTGAATAAAAGTAGTTTCTGGAAATATATGACAACGGCTGTTGTCATTTCCTTGGAAGTAACAGCATTTAAATATTGTGATTCCCTCTTCTAACTAGAATTTATTCCTAGAGTTTACCATCTGGATTTCTTATGTTGTGTGCATTATTTTTTTAAGGCATTAACTATTACTTTTCTCAGAGTTTTTGTAAGTAAAGTTTTGGTTTACCAGAATAGAAAAAACTTACCTTAGCTAAAATTGTACACTTCATAAGGAAATTTTCTGTGATGATTTCTGGGTGTGTCTGCTGTCCATTTAGACTGTAAGAAAGAGAGAGAGAGCAAGAGAGACAGCTGTTCACTAGATAACAGGAAGGCTGAATGGATGAAAACATAGAGGCTTTGTGTTTTTTCTTTAAGCTTTTAGCTTTTGTATTTCTTGTCAACTGCACTTCATTTAATCATTCACTGAAAATAGATCAATCAGATTTTTTCCTCTCAAGCATAATTTTCTAGTATTATTGGTCATCATTAAGATATAATCATTGTATCTTCAAATCCATATCACACACTGCTGAGGCTCCTTAAATCTGATTAAAAAGTATATTTCAAAAAAGAAGCGATATGTATTAGTCAGATATCTCCCTAACATGCATTTTAATGCATGTAATTGAAATGCTAAAATTGCCTAAATCTCACATTTTTGCTGTTTTAAAAGCTGAAGGGCAGCAATGCATAAAAATTCACTGGGCATTTTTTATCAAACATTTTGTGCAACTGAAGAACTTTGATCAGAATCAGTTTTCTGATTCTTGTTGATTCTTGCCGTTGTCGGCTTTAGGACAGTCAGTAAATATTTTTTTTATAAACTTAAAAAAAAATTATGTGTGAAAATGTTTAGGGTTGAGATAGTAATGAGATTACCATCTACACTGTGGTGTAAGTTTGGTTTGTTTTATCTCAAATATTTTTAAATTTTATTAATCTAATTCTTAAGGAGCAAAATTAAAATATAGCATAGATTAGAAAGTTCAAATTATGCGTCCTTCTAGAGATTAGAGGGCCACATAAAACGCTACGGTGGGCCAGATTTGGCCCCCAGGCCTCAAGTGTGTCAGAGATCGTGCGATCGCGTGTGACTGTAGTTTAGATTAACTCGATCTGATGTGTTTTTGGGGCCCTGTGCGGCGGCCCACCTTTACCTCACGGTTAGGACCGCCTCTGGAGATGCTGACTGTACAAGCCACGGTTTCCGTTCCCACAACCCCACACACTTTAACCGACACGCTTCAGGATTAGCGTCTCCCACTCAGCATGGCTCAAATGTCCAAATATTGACTGTCTGTGGTGAAACTAATAATAGAAAAGACTGGATCTGCCAGCGAGAGCCTCAAACCAACTGGACCACAGCATTTTTGCCTGATCTTGAATAATAATTCAGTCAATTCCTCCTCCTGCTTACAGTATACACATCAGGCCTGAATCGATGCCAGACCACTGATCCAGGATCTGCTTTCATTACAGGAGATAATTCAACCAGGTTCAGCGTCTAGACAAGTTGTTCCTCTCAGACACTTAAGTAGTGGCCTCCCTGTTCATGGACGACGTCAAACTGTCTGCATTTTTGCCATCCTGACATTGAAATATAACGCCTGGCATACACACATACACACACACACTCAAAGCCTGCTGTGCCACTATATCAGCGTGTTGCCACAGCTTTTTGATCTGCCTTAAACCTAAATATTGCACATAAACCCCCGGCTTGTTTTTTTCCCCTCGCTCTGTAATCCGTTCTGAAATCTGAAACCTTTTTTCCAGAGACTTGTGACAGAGCGCCATTAGATGAGTTTTCATGGAAATAAAAATGCTAATACTCATGAACGTCAGGAGACCATACGACTAATCCTCCAGATTCTGCCAGAAGGGGGTTTTGCTCTATTTTGTTTTCGTTTCTTAGATATTTTCCTGAAAGAATTAAAATGTTATGCAGCAGGCAATAAACAAACAAACACTGATTTCCCTTGTTTTTAGCAATGCAGAAACTGATGCTGCTGCAAACACTGACTCAACAGACCATCCCTAATTATTTCTCTGCTGCTGTGTATATATATTTTTTCTAAATTGCTAATTGATACCAGTTTAAGGAGCTTCCTGCCGTGTCAGTGGTGCAGCCAGCTGATACTGAGCAAGAAGCAGCTTGAAAAGGTCTGTTGCATTTCCTCAACTGTCAGACTTCAACTCCGCAGAGGGGACCTAATGCTCCCTGGAATCTCATGAATGCACCCCAGAGAAAGCCAAAGATGTTTGTGTCAGCTCCAATGAGATTGCTGGAAAGTGCCTCTTGAGGTTCGAATTCCTGTTAATTGGCAGCGTGGCCGGGCACAGGCGCCTTTGTTCTCTAATACAGGAGTTTTCTGTGTGTGTCAGGCTGATACACTGAGCCTGGCATCAATAAACTGTTTGTTTTTTAGAGTTTTTTTTTCTGAGCTTGCCTCTTCGGGAGCATCGTTGTCGGCTTTAGGACAAGTCACTTCCACTTTTTTAAAACTACCTCTGAACGGCTTTTCTCAGGGATTGCAAAGGAAGGATTCAGGGTGGTTCACAACTCTAGATTGCATGGCAAAAGGGAATCAAATTCCATAAGCTGCCTTTAACCGCAATGAAGCAAAAATGTGCAGGCAAGTTAAAGAGACTGCAGTCGAGCTTGCAGCTTGATGACTTCATTTAATTTTGCGGGTGTCCCATTTCCCTTTAGGACCAGTGCGGATGCACTGACACTGAGCTGTGAAGATGTAATTTAAATTTTTATGATATCATAAAGAATACAGTCATGGTAAAAAGATATTGTGGGCTCTTCAATTGCAGGGTTTTAGAAATGACTTAGTCTTTTACAGTCATTTCAATTCGACATGAAGTGTAGAAAAATACACAGATTTATCATCATTATATATTAAAAGAAGACAAAAAGGATGGCCTGTCTGCACCCAGTAGATTTAGGAGAATAAGTTGCAGCTAATTAAATAAAATAGAATAGTATACTTTATCTTCCCTCGTGGGGAAATTCAGTTCTCACAGCAGCAAGTTGAGGTAAGTGAGAGCATGCATATTAACGGAAAAGTAAAAAATCTAAAAATAAGAGCAGATCAAATTTACAACTTAAGGAAAATATTACTGTGCAGCTATTATAAAATATGTTTGTCCCGATCCAATATGGACAAACCGGTCCAATATCATCCAAAATAAGTATTGGATCGTAACTAAAGTCTCAGATAAAAGCACACTGATAGAATCACTCCACATCAGCATTTGTTGATAATAAAAGAGTCAGTTATTCTCATATCTATTGTTAATGTTCTCTGAGTAATAGCACAACTAATTGTGGTCCTTTCACCTCCTTCCATATGAGCAATCAATATTTGTAGCTCCTCCAGAGTTAACATGGAGCTCACAATAGTTTTTGGCTACTTCTCTTCTTAATGTTGTCTTTGCCTCGTCTGCCGACCAACAGACATCTCAGATTTTAGTTTTATGAAATAAAAATATGCTTATTTTTGCTCAATTTTACAGTAATGCAGAACTTTGTGTTGATTTAACACAGAACGTTCAATTAAAACACTGAGTTTCTAATTTAACACAACTACACTGCAAAAACACATCTTACCAGTTATTTTTAGTTCAGTTTACAGTAAAAATATTTTAATATATGTTAAATGAAACAGGAATAATTTATAATGCACATTTCATTAAAATATTTATCATTTTATATCAATAATTCCTTACTTATAATGGAAAAAGTGCTATTTCCAGTGGCAGATCACTTCATTAATAAGATATCTTTCTCGTGTTTCTTGTAAGATTGTTTTATCTTATTTTAGGTGTGCTAAGATATTTACACTAGAAACTAAATATGAGTACTTGGTCAAATTTTGTGTGTTTTTGCAGTGTAAACTTGTTTAGTTTCACCATTTTGTAAAAACTAAAAGAGGTTTCCACACGATTTTCTGGCAGACTCATCTAATTAGGGTTTAGTGTGGTGAATATTTTTGCAAGGTATTATAACGTTTGGCCTGGATTGGGTCATCTCTGCTGTGAAGGCGTGTTTTAAAATGAATCGACATGTTTTCAACAATAAAGTGTGACTGGAAAAGTCAAACAGAAAACTTGTACATCTGGTTATTGTTGCTAAAAGTGATTCAACAAGCCACTGTAGTCAGCCCGTCACACTTGGTGTTTAGTTTTGTCTTTGTCTTTGCTTAGTAAATAAGGGCCGTTTTGATTCCATTGTGTTTTTGAACACTTAAGGTTTGTCTGTGGTGGGTACCAGATTATTACATCCTGATAAATAAGACATTAAGAATCTAAAGATGCGGGCTCTTTCTTTTTACAACAACTGTAAATATAATCCACTGGAACAGAAACAAAA